TTTTGCTTCTCATCCAAGAAGCTTCTTTGGTTCTTTTCAAAGAAAAAAAAAATCAAAGTTCAGTTGCCTTTTGGAAAAAGCATCTTTGGGACAATCATGACTTGGATGATTGAGAATCTCCATTGACATTGTTACATGATGTCCTGCTTTACGACCACAATATGGCTGTGCTTGAAGGGCAACCTCTTGGTTGAATCGTAACCATGATGTGAAAGTAAAAAGAGTATTGGGTTTATCTGGGCATCTGTCCCAATTGTTGGAAAGGCAGCGAGAAGAGCTTAAAGAGCAAAATCTTCTTACTTTCCAGAATTCATCCCATGAATGAAAGTGTCCCAGGATAATGTTGCAAGATCCAATCTGGGTGAGTCACCGGGACCAGAGACTGAATCTTCCGAGCTTTCGGACTCGTGCTGGGGCCCCCATCCTCAGGGAACTTCTCTCTCACCAGAATGTCTCTCTCTAGTCTAGCAGAAACACTCTGCTAGAGAGAGAGAGAGAGAGAGAGGTTCCCTGAGGATGGGGGCCCTGGCACGAGTCCGAAAGCTCGGAAGACTCAACCTCTGGTCCCAGCGATGATTCTTGCAGGATTCATCTCATTCGAATTTCATTTCTTGAAACCACGTTATTCTAGGTGGATTCCAATCTTAGAAACCTGTTTGGCTTGGAAAAAAAAGTGTTATTGGAAAATAAGGACCAGTATGGGCGATTCACTTTCTTTTACCTTTTACTTCTCTGCTCTAGTTCTCAAATGTTATGAATGTATAGTACATAAGATTTACCTTCTCTTGTCAAATATTCTACTTGCCTGTGGCTTGTTCATTTGGTTAAAACTGTGCTTCTCAATCTTGGCAATTTTAAGATATGTAAACTTTAACTCCCAGAATTCCCCAACCAGTCCACATACCTTAAAATTGCCAAGACTTAAAAAAAATGGGTTAAGACATGGGTTTAAAGCAGGCAATCCCCTTTTGAAGGCTTCAAAATTCCAAATGACTATGCTACCAAATTCCAGCATGATTTCTGTAAAATAGCAGCATAGTTATGGCAACTTTGAGGTCGAAAATATGAAAACCTCTCTACCTACTGTCACGCATTATTTTCATTCTGTTCTCCCCCCATCTCTGATGCATGCTACTTGTCTTCATGCTTGTTTGCAAATTTGTTCTACTGACTTTAGTGAAGTACAGAAAAGTACATAGACAGTCCTCGATTTACATAGGGCTTAAATCCCATTTGAAGTTATGAGGGACCTCCCCAGTGCTACTTATGACCCAGGTTCAGGGTTCCAATGGCTTTCCCTCCCCTGCAGTCATGTGATCATATTTTGGGTGCTCAGCATCCCACCCTGCATTTAGGGCCCTTTGCTGTATCCCATTGCACCTGACCCCGATTTGCAACATTATGTTTTTTTTGCTTGAAACCAGTATTTACTTCCAGTTTCCAGCAAAAATTGCCCACTGTGGACAATAGATTCACTTAATGGCTGTTGTGTTCACTTAACGACCATGGCATTCACTTTATCACCACCGTATTCGCTTTACAACTTTGGGGCTCAATTACAGTTGTATCCATACTAGGCATTTGGTGTGGAATTGCAACCCCTTGTTGATTCATTTCTATAAGGCATCCATATAACCTGTAAAACAAGTCCTTATGAAACCAATGCGATTTACTTCTGAATAAATGTATACCTTGGATGGTCTTATAGATGAAACAATGTATAATAGTTGGTTGAAACAAAAATAGAAAAGCTGAGTACCTTTTCTAGTCCCTACAATTTTAGTAATTAAGTTACTACGCTTATGTTTGTTTTAATTATACCCTTCTATACTTCTGAATCAAAATGAATATTAAACATTAGGCATGGGGGGAGGTAAATATATTTTTAAACAAGTGCTATAGTGTAAATTAGTGTAAATATAATGTATTTTTAATTAATTTAATTAGAGCCTTGCTAATTAAATTTTGCTCTAAGTGAGTTTTAGTTTGGTCTTAGATAGGAAAGCCAGCTGGGTGATTTTGGGCCAGATACCCCCTCCTTCAGCACAACTTACCTCACAGGTTTGTTGTAGGAAGACAGGCGGAGGAAAGAGTATTAGTATGTTCATCACTTTAACTTATTTATAAAAATAATAAAGTGAGGGTACAGATAAATTAAAAATAAAGTAAAAATAATTGATTTGGATTTTTATGTGGCTGTAAAGACAAATTACATTTTTACTATTAAACCTGCTAATGTGTGATGGAGCAAAGCAGGTTTGTGTATAGAAAAAGCACAATGCCTTCTAAAGTGTGTGGGAACTTAATTGCAATTCTACTTGCAGGGGAAGAGCCATTATTAAATGACCTTAAGAGCTTGTCTCCTAGAAGCTCCTTTGGGAACTGTGGGTTTAATGGCATCCAAATATTGTAATTTATATAACAGAAAGTCAGACTCTGCAAGGATGAGCGAAAAGAAAAAATACAGGTACTCCTCAACCTGCAACAGTTCGCTTAATGACCGTTCAAAGTTACAACGGCACTGAAAAATGCGACTTATGACTGTTTTTCACAGTCACATGATCAAAATTCAGATGCTTGATAACTGGTTCATATTTATGACTGTTGCTGTACCTCAAGGTTATGGGATCCCCTTTTGCGAACTTCTGACAAGAAAAGTCAGTGAGGAAGCCAGGTTCACTTAACAACTGAGTTTCTAACTTATCAACTGCAGTGATTCCCTTAACAGTTGTGGCAAGGTTGTAAAACAGGGCAAAACTCACTTAACAAATGTCTTCACTTAGCAACAGAAATTTTGGGCTCAATTGTGGTCGTAAGTCGAGGACTATCTGTATGTGGAAACCACCAGAAACTCAAGTGGGAGATAGTGCTCCTTGGTTCTTAGATAATACCACATACTATACGTAAAGACTCTGAATGGAAGTCAGGAAGCAGGAAAATAGGATGGAGGTTAATATAAATTGCAGAGAAAGCAACAGGGCTGCATAAATAAATAAATGGCATACCTCATATGTGTACACTTCTCTATCATGTGCTTCTGCCAAAATAGAAAGTATCTGCCAGGGAGTTACCCATTTGCACTTTCCAAGATATAAATAGAAAAATTTATTGCACTTTTTCAGATATAAACTCGTACGTGCATGGAAGGAGGCACACCATAATCCAGAAAGGAACCCATTATACGTTTTGGTAGAGGTTTTTGCTTTGTAGGGCCAAAAAGAAGTCGTTAGCTGGCTAGTGGATCTGTAGATCCAGAGGTCTGTAAGCCTGAACATTGGGAATGAAGGGAATAATAATTATATAAGTGAAAGAAAAAGAGAGCAGTCCTACAGCAGCAAAGGTCAGGCTGATGGTCTCCTTTTATAGAGCATTGAGGTATTTCAGGATCTCAACTGTGGAGCCTTAGACAAGCTGATGGCAGGTATGTAGTACTTTATCAGAATTTCCGTACTGCCTCCCATCTTAGGTTTTTCTGAAGCCTAAAGCACTTTCACAAAACTCTTTTTGGTAACCATGTTATGCAAGAGATGCTCCTGCTTTAGCAGTAGAGGTAGACTACAGTTCACTTGAACTTATAACAGCACTGAAAAAAAGGTGACTTATGATCTTTTTCACACTTACGACCATTGCAGCATCCCCATGGTCACATGATCAAAATCCAGATGCTTGGCAACGGACTCATATTTATGACAATTGCAGTGTTTTGGGTTCATGTGATCAACTTTTACGACCTTCTGACAAGCCAAGTCAATGGGGGAGCCAGATTCACTTAAAAATCATATTAACAGCTGTAGTGATTCACTTAACAATTGTGGCAGGAAAAGTTGAAAAATGGGGCAAAATTCACTTAGCAACTATCTTGCTTAACAATTTTGGGCTCAAGTGTGGTCATATGTTGAGGACTACCTGTATGTGAAGAATCCCTTGGATTTTGGGGGTGGATTGGCCTCTTAACACTGAGCTTAAGAACAGATATTACCAGCAGCACATTAGAAAAGCAAGCATAAATTCTGACTTGGTTTGGATAAAGGCAAGCTGGTTAGGGTTATTTGCCCTTTAACCAAGTGTCATCTGCTTTGACTGGCAGGGCTTCTCCAAAACCCAGCCCTTTGTTCCCTCCATTTCCTTCTACCTGATTATTTAGCCCAGGACCAGCCAGTGTCTTCTGCATCCTGGAGAACACATTTCTTTTAAAAACAAAATTTGGTCTTCAAGGGCTAGAAGGGAATGTGGTGATGATAGTGGCATTTCTGGGAAAGGGTCGCAAGACAAAACAAAGTGTGGGGTGGCGGGTTTCAAAGGTTGTCCATGCTCGATTTAACCAGAGAAGCCAGGAATTGATGGTTCTTCAGTAGCCATGCTTCTTCTGCCAAGTTCCTTGATTAAGGAACTCTTCACTAAGTGCTTTAGAAGCAAGATGAAAGAACTGTCTAAAATCTAGAAACTACACAAGGGAGGAATTCCACTTTCTTAGTAGACATTCTATTGTTTGGCCATAGGAGTTGGCATCCCTGATACCTCTTCAAAAGAAAGGCACTGGTTTACCATAGATAGGAAAAATTGTTCCTGCAAAGTTGAGGCAGCTAGAACATACAACATACCAAAACACCCACAGCCCTGCCGTGCTTAAGCTTACGCACTAGCTGGAGATTACTGCTTCTATCAGATGTTGCTGAAACTAATAAATACTTGAAGGGATATAGGCATTCTGGTTTTACACTAGAGTCCCAGCTCTTTCAATAACCCACTGTTAAAAAGGCACAGAAGGGTGTTTTACATTGGCATCAGCATTGCAACAGCAGTTGCTAAGTTTAAGAGAGGGAGAAAAATGGCCATTTGTGGCAGGGAGAAATGGGTTAGAACTTTTTTTTTCTCACTTATTGATCCCTAATTCCAATCAGCTCTCCTTTGGTAGCTGCATTCAGCTGGCTTAAAAATCTGCTGAATGGATCCTATACCACTTAAGGTAAGCTGTGCAACCAAACATTTGCACAGAACCGATGGAGCCAGAACGTAGGGAGGCCATTTTCATAGAGAGTACCAGGCTGAATAAGGCTGCAGTGGTTCAAAGAAGACAACATTTTCTGTCTTTTGCTTCAGATTACGACACCACACCCTTGAAACCTGGTGACCAAGGGAACAAAGTTCATCTCTTTTCTGCGTGGCCAGCTGGTGCAAGTAAGTTGGTAGATGTTGTTTTACACATTGAATCAATCTTTATTGCATGTGATAATATAGTGAGAAGTCTCCACTTTCAGTTTCATGTTTCAAATGATATAAGTGACATGAGAGTTGAGAGAATGAGCTCCAAATAAAGGATGAGAGAGGGATTTGATGTTTAGAACATTTGGATCCAGCTGTGGATTAGGAAATGGGGTTTGAGAGGTACTACCTGCCCAAGACATTTTGTTTGTCTGGCACCGAACAGCAAATTCTGTCCAGCCCCCATCAAAATGTATTGTTATTATTATTATTTATTAAATGAATTTGTTGTCCCAGAAGGCATCAGCCAATTTGTCCTATTAAAGTCTGTGGTCATGAACCTTAACTGCTTTTGTAAGAACTCTTCTGATATATATTTTTTGTATAACTTGGGATATAAGCAAAATGTAGTATGATTTTCATTAAAATCTCTTTATGATTTCATACCATGGGAAAGAATATAGTTCAGGTAATCTTCAGCTTACAACTGTTCATTTAGCGACTGTTTGAAGTTACAATAGCACTGAAAAAAGTGATTTATGACAGTTTTTCCACACTTATGACCATTCAAGTATCCCCATGGTCATGTGATCAAAATTCAGATGCCAAGTGACTTACATTTATGACGGTCGCCGTGTCTTGGGGCCATGTGATCACCTTTTGTGACCTTCTGGCAAGCAAAGTCAATGGGGAAGCCAGATTCCCTTCACAAGTGCAATGATTCACATAACAACTGTGACAAGAAAGATGGTAAAATGGGGCAAACTTCATGTAACAACTGTCTCGCTTAACAACAGAAATTTTGGGCTCAGTTGTGGTTGTAAGTTGAGGACTGCCTGAATAAAACCAGCGAGTTACCCTTGGCATTTGTAAAGACAATCCCACAAGGTTTTTTTTTTTTCTCCATCTCCAGCATGAAAAATGTGCCAATATCAAATAATTCCTCACTGCTTTTTTATTTAAGATCTGGGATCTCAAGACAGCTACTTCATTCTGTGTGAAATGCTCATGCCAGGGCCGGTTTTGCTTATGAAGTGGGGCAAGCAGCACAGAACCAAGCAGAACTCAACTTTTTTAAAGTTTCGGAGCTTTGTTGTTTAAAGTAGAATTCTTCAGTTCTTATTCTGCGTTCTGATAGTTTTGAGTCCTGTTCCATTCAGTGCTATATTTTTCTGCACAATAGCTGCATTGTCCGTGTGACACCTGCCAAACTGGATGCAGCAGGGCCAGAAGAGGCTGAAGAAGGCTGGAGCCTTTCCAACAGCAGCCATCCCCCACTTCTTCTCAGTAAAGAACCAGCTACATCTAACTCAACCTCCAGCCAGTTCCAGAATCAGCATGATGCCTCCACTCTCACCGGTGAGTATTATTCTACTACCTGAAGACTAAGTTCAGTTAATCTCATGAATAATGAATACCTGTCTGCACCGTAGGACAATGGAGTTTGGTAGTGATTTCTTCTTCTTAGGGAATGCTGGGAGCTGTAATCCAGCAAATGTGACTTTCATTAAACTCCCAAGAATTCCCGAGATTCTTCTTCCCAAGAAAAAGCTCTAGGGAATTAACCCTGCAAGGTCAGTATCAAGTTGTGGTATGTAGAAGTGCCCTAAACATGAATAATCTGTATCATCGTATGTTGCAGAACAATTCCTAGGAGCCCCAACTAGCCTGAAGACTGCTGGTGATTGTTAGCAATATTAGTTGGAAGGGACCTTAGAGATCCAGCCCCCTGTTGGAGCAGGACACCCTATACCAGGGTTCCCCAACCCCTGGTCCATAGACCAGCATCAGGCTGCGGCATGCCAGCAACTGGGCCGCACAAACAAGCAAAGCCCCATCTGTGGGATGCAGGCAGCACACAAACTCATGCAGGGTTAATTCTTCTGGGTCCCTGGTGCCCAAAAGGTTGGGGACTTCTGCCCTATACCATTTCAAACAAGTGGTTGTCCAATCTCTTCTTAAAAGCCTTCAGCAATGGGTTACCCATGACTTCTAAAAGCAAGGCACTCCACTGGTTCATTGTTCTCACCATTAGGAAATTTCTCTTTAGTTGCTTAGTTGCTTCTCCCATTGATTAGTTTCCATCTATTATTTTTTTGTCTTGCCTTCTGGTGCTTTGAAAAAAAGATTATCCCCCTCATCTTTGCGGTAGCTCCTCAAATATTGGAATCTATTGCTATCATGTCTTCCCTAGTCCTTCTTTTCAACTAGACTAGACACACCCAATTCCTGCAACGGTTCTTCATAAAGTTTAGCCTCCAGCCCTCTAATCATTCTTGCTACTCTTCCCTGCACTCTTTCCAGTGTCTCAACATCTTTTTATATAGGTAGTCCCCGAGTTACGAGCGTTCACTTAACACTCGTTCAAAGTTACATGATCAGCGCCCCCTAGTGTTTATGAGCAAATTACGACTATTGCAGCACCATAGCAGTCATTCGCCCTTACAAGCGACCGCAAAGACTCTGCAGTATTCACCCTATTCCCTCCCCACTCCTCACAACTGCTTCCCCTTCCCTTCCTGCCATGCCAGAGTCACTTACCTTGCAAAATCTGTCTCCTCTCCGCCGCGGTTTCTTTACCTTTGAGGGAGAGGAGAAAAGCTTGCAAATGCTTTTCGTGCTGACAATGGAAAGTCCTGAGTGCCATAATATTGCACGAGTTCAAACACCCATTTTTTTGCAAAAGAGATCATGGTCCCCAGAAGCTTCTATTCTCTGGGGGGGGGGGAAAGTGTTTGCTTCATTTGTATGCCTATGGGGCAAAGCGTGGAATTGGAGTCAGCTGGGTGCAGAAACCAATACTGTCCGTGGCCCGGCTGAGTGGCTCACTTGCGTGCGCCGGACTTAGTTTGAGAGCAGGAACGAAGTCTTCAAATGAGTGGGGAGGCATTGCGGGGCCAGGTACTTTGCACCCGCATCCAAGCTGGCACCAATGGCAACCACCTGAACGGCCATGATCCCCCTCTGCAGCCAGCCAGCCCGACCTAGTCCTCGCCTGGCTGGCTGGCTGGCACAAATCCTCCCCACTCTCCTCCTCCTTGTCCTCCTCACTCAAGCGGTGGCAGGAGCTTGGGTTTCTCGGCTCCTCCTGAGTGTAGGAAAGTGGAGGCACAGCAGCAAGATTGCTCTCAAACAATAAGACCTGGGTGCGCTGCTTGCTTGTATGCGCCGGCCTTATTGAGAACAATCCTGCTGCTGTGCCTCTGCTTTCCTCCACTCAGATGGAGCAGAGAAACCCAAGCCTCTGCCACTAATAAACTTCTTATCCAAAGGGAGACTTTGGGGAAACTGGATTCTCCCTCTGTGAGCAAATGGGGCGGTTCAGAACAAAGCAAATTCGCTGATGGTTTCAAATCACAAGAAGATAGATTCTAATTGAACATTAGGAAGCTTTTTTTTTCTAATAAGAGTTCAGTAGTGAAAATGAAACTCAATTATCCAGAGAGTGAAAGAACATCCTTCAGGAGCTAAACAGGACAGTGACCTGGTGGAGATACTGTTAATAAGAATTCTGTGTGAGAGGGGTGCATTTTGTCCCTCACTTCACTCCCCTTTTGTGAAACTATGGTTGAACTCCTGGTCACCCCAGGTTTTCATGTGCCTAACATTGAAGACTGCAAAGTCCCCATATTGTTTTATGCAGACCATGCTGCATTTATTTCTTGTATACTTCTTGGCCTTAAAGGTGCAACGAGAACTACAGATAATCCTTGACTTACAATCATTTGTTTAGTAACCATTCAAAGTTACAACAGCACTGAAAAAAATAACTTATGACCAGTCCTCACACTTATGTCCATAGCAGCATCCCCACAGTGATTTAATCAGACTTTGGGTGCTTGGCAATCGGCGTGACTTTATGATCGTTGCAGCATCCTAGGATTGTTATCTGCAACTTTCCTAGGGAGCTTTTGACAAGCAAAGACAATGGGGAAAGCCAGATTTGCTTAATGACCATATGATTCACTTAACAACTGTAGTAATGTGCTTAAAAACCATGGCAAACAGATCATAAAATGGGGGCATGGTTCGCTTAGCAATGAAAAATTTGGGCTCAATTGGGGTCATAAGTCAAGGACTATCTGTATTACACATTAACATAATCAAAACAGGCTGGAAATACATTGCCAGAAATATTATTGTGTGGTTTTTTCCAAAAAGCCAAATTAACAAATATAAGTAATTGACCAGAACATGTACACCCCTTTAAATATTTAAAAGTAATTTTTCATGATCCTAGAAATCTTATAATGTATAGATGAAGCAAATGGCAGCCTATCAAAAGTTTTGGGGTTGTTTTTTTTTACTTCAAAAGAGGTGAACTACTACCTCTCCAGCATTAAGGGTTTTTGAAGGTAAAACACTGGACAAAATATTTTATGTAGCTCAAGTTGGCCCGTAGAAGAAGAAAAACGTCCTAGAAGCCAGTGACACAAGCCAAGTTTTAAAGGTTTTCCTTTGCTACAGGTAATATCCTCAACTTATACCAGGCATGTCCAAAGTCCGGCCCGCGGGCCATTTGCGGCCCGCGGCCCGGTTTAATCCGGCCCTCGAACAGCCCTCCCTGCTCTATGTAAATGCGGCCCTCCCACAGCCCTCCGGCAAGTCCCATGAGAGAGAGAGAGACAGAGACAGAGACAGAGGCACTTGCACTTGCACTTCTGTCTCTCTCTCTCTCTCTCTCTC